CCCACACACACACACCCACCCACCCATCACTCCACTACCTCCAACTAAGTGCACATGCACCGTTTAACTTCCCCCCTCCTACTTCCTTTCCCATCAAATTTTGTGATTCTTTTTTATGAAATTAAAGGCAGAAAAAGAAACGTTATGCAGCAAAGCAAACTAGGATGTGTGCATAGGCCCATAGCATAAATAAAAGACTCTGACTATGGTATCAAGATGCTAGTGCTGATTCATCATTTTACTCCTATGCGCAAAAAAGTGGGGGTTGGGGTTGGGGGTTTCTTTTTCCATTTTTCTTTTGATGAGTGTGCATTTGGTTGATCGCTCTTTCATCATTTTCTCTGCTATTTTCTAAGTTTAAAATTGAACTCTGTCAACAAGAATTGTTTTGCATATAAATCAACTGCCTTAAGAAAGCTTGCTACACTTACAAAGATTAAATACCAAAAAGGAACATATTTCCTGGTGCGACTCCCAAAATAAATAGGTTACAATGCAAACACAAGTTTCAGGAGCCAGCTCAGCTGTAGCTGACTCCAAAAGTGAGTTTTCATAAGCTCTATGTCATTGAGAACTTGAGAGCTTCCTAAACAACAAAACATATTGTTAAACGAAGGATGCATAATGCTTTTCTTGTGAATAAATGGTATTTTTATCCTTGAAATACTGAAAAATCAGTGCCCCAGGGCTTAGTTCAAGTGACAAAGGTTGAGGGACTTATAACTTACGTCACAGGTTCGAGCCTTGCGTCATGCGAACTAAGCCTGGTATTTAAGTGGAGAAGGGTAGAGGGACGGGTCCATTATCCCCGAGTTTCGAAGGCTGCAGTTCATCCTAAGGATTGGTCCCAAACAGATTTCTCGGTCACCCAAAAGAAATATTGAAAAAGCAATAGCGCGTTTAAAATGTGGAAATTAATTTGTAATGCTTTCAAAAGAATTTATTATTCTGCACTTTTTGTTTTAGATCATTCAATAACTAAATCTTATGAGGAGAACCACATTCCAGACAACTCGATGACTCCAGAGATAAAGAGCAAAGATTGAGACTTGACGCCACAAGACTATGAGTTTCCTCCTTCAATTCCACAATTTAGGTAATTTTTCCAGGCCCAAAGGTAAGGTTTATTAGTTTCTATAAACTTTGAGTAATAACCTTTAGGATAGCTACCTCCAACAGTTGTAAAACAAATTATAGATGATTCTTTTCCCATCAAGATTCACAGTCAATTTTTTTCGAGGAAAAGTTCACAGTGAATTTATTTTTTTTCCCCTTTTTGGGGCGTAGGTCCACTGAACGCTAACTTTAATCAAATGAAAATTCAGCATATTGCTTTCAGGGGAAAACGTTGTTTCTTTTCCCATGAAGCATTTGGGTTCTCAGCAAATTCATAAATGTTAATTGTTATAAGCACTAATTAAAAACTCAACAGTTCTATATCCACCTTAGGGAGAATTCCATTAGTGGCTCAATAAGCTGTGAATGCTCAATAATTGCTAATGGAACCTGTCACAGTCGTACAACCATGGCATGTCCAGATACCTTCTGCTTCAGAAATTAAATGCTAACAGCCTAACACTTTCTAAAAGTGTCAGATTTTGGTTTACCATGTAATATGTAGGTCTTGAAGCTAAATGGGACCAACTTCCCACTAAACTAATACAATTGGGGTATATATCAATCAGCAATGTATCAACCTCAAACTAGCCGGGTCAGCTAATGAAATCCTCAACGCCCGTTCTGGTCTATTAAGGTCAATTTCATTTGACTACTAAATAAGTTGTCTTGTACCACAAATTAGCGGTTTTCCAGAAATAGAGATCTCAAAATGTTACACTTACCCCTAAACGGGCATATAAATCTATAACCAAAATAAAGACACTTCTAACAAACATCAGGCCTAATTTAAGTGTAAAAACAAGTAAACCTTAATTTCTAACTAATTAGTATCGGCCATACAGAACCTTTGATTCCATTCTTAGCTAAACTTTCATTGATTCTGAGAGATATTCAGCAACTTGAAACATTCATCTCGCTCATATGTAAGCTAACACTCACTTCCATGTAATATTGCCGGTGCCACAATCCCACAACCATTTTCCAAAACATGGTCTTCACCTTGGTAGGTAGACCTATCGTAAATCACTCCACCTTTTGAGTGATCATATTCTAATTTCTACGTGTTAATTCTTCCTTTGTCATGCCATTCTCTAGGAGACATTGATGCCAATTTTTCCACTCTAAGAGTCCCAAAAATGCGACTATGAGATTTAATCAGAGGCATTATCCTCTTTTTTGAAATGGTAACATGGTGACTCGAACCCACAACGTAAGGTTGGAGGTGGAAGGTACTTCCCACTTGAGCAACACTCTCTTGTCCAACACATAATCCACTTATTTGAGGTAGTATCTTCAACACCGAATCCTCCATCAAAAATGTATAGCATTAGATTCGATAAATTTGCTCGTGTTGCAATGATGCTTTGTTGGAGAAGCTATTAAGAATAAGTGATTAAAACATGCTTCCAGTACAGCCTGTTATGTAGGGACTATATCATATATTGTTTGATAAGGAATTCCCAAAAACTAGCTTAAAAATAGAGTAATCAAGCTCAAAATAATTAACACTTGGGCTGATATGATTGATCATGGAAGTTACGCATGAACATAATGCTAATGACAAAGACTTGTGCATAATCCATGTTACTTTCATTCAACCGCTACATGATCACCAATTCCATAAGCTTGGATGCTTAATTGGTCTAACAACTACACTCTATGTCCTGACTTCTTGTCCCGTTTATTGATAACTTTCAAATAGTAATAGTGTCATATAAAATGAAACATAGCAAGTTTTAGTTAACCAGAGCCTAAGAATACTACGCCCTCCAATATATGTACTAATACAATGATTAGAAGCACTGTTGCAAAATGCATGTGCAACTTAGAAGCTTATTCAAGTCAGTTGGAGAGCTCATATACATGTCAACTATACTTGCAAGCACGATATCTTTCATAGCATTAGAAGTCTATATAGCAAAAAACATGATGATATTGACTACTTACAGCACCACAGGGACAACTGTTAGAAACTTCCTGTTGCGAGTAAGCTGCTTCCCATTATCTATCTGCTCCCACCAAGTCAATCCATTGTAGATACCTTGGTCATCAGAAAATGGTGTTCCCTTCTTCCAGTGAAAACATTGATATGTGACCTGAAGATAAACAGACAAGGCGAAGTCGTTAGTAAAGCAACAAAAGATTTGGAGTATGTACAAATTCTATTCCCTTCTTCCAGTGGAAAATAGTGACAAATGACGTGAAATAAGTAGAGAAGGCTGTCTTCCAAAAAGAGAGATAAAATCGAGGGTAGGTATATTACAAGGTTTCCACCCATGCTACAACACCAGGGAAAAAAACATACACACAGAGACACAGAGAGACAAGAGTGGGTTGCTCTAGTGGTGAGCACCCTCCACTTCCAACCAAGAGGTTGTGAGTTCGAGTCACCCCAAGAGCGAGGTGGGGAGTTCTTGGAGGGAGGGAGCCGAGGGTCTATCGGAAACAGCCTCTCTACCCCAGTGTAGGGGTAAGGTCTGCGTACACACTACCCTTCCCAAACCCCACTAGTGGACTTATACTGGGTTGTTGTTGTTGTTGTTGTACACAGAGAGACACAAATTGGGACCAAAGAGAAGGTAAAGATCATCAAGTAAACTTTGGCACGCTTAGGAATTATGCATACGCACATTATTCACAGCATATAACATAGGTAAACAATGTTTCTTATTTGCTACTAAACACATGGGCAGGCAAGCATAGCAAGAATAAGGCAAAAGACGCCAAAAGGATAATAGAGATATTAAGCTTTCAAAGTAGCAATCTTAATAATCCCCAAATTCCAAATGTACTTGTTACTCCGCATACTGGTGACTAAATAGAGAATTGCAAGGTACGTCAATCATGCATCATAATTGTCATGAAAATGGTCTTAGACCTAACTCAACTCAAAAAACTAGTTTAAGTGGTGAAAATTCTCGAAACCATATAAATAGACTATAAAATGTACCCTCAACCAATGTGGGAATTTAACACACACACACACACACCCCTACTCCTACCCTCCTCTCCCGGCACAACTAGGACTAGATATCTAGAGCATGAATAACATAACACGAGAGCTCAACAATGATAACTCTAGCTCTGATACCATGTCATGAAGAACGAACCTTGGGCTAAATCAACCGTAAAGATAGTTCAAGTGGTGAGAGTTCTTCAACATTATAATAGATTAAAGTCCATAGAGCCATAGACTCCGTACTCTAAACTAATATAAGACTATAGTAGTAATGTCTAGTAAAATTGATCAAGACGCAAAAACCAAGTATACAAGACACTAAAAAGCTAAAACTTTTATTACAATTTGCATGTCCATCTATCTAAGAATCAAATATATCAATTGTGCGTGCCATCAATCACAAAATAGTAGGAGTCGGCTGTATCCTTTTCTACTCTATCTAAGAATCAAGACGGATAAATTAAATTCCAATTCACCCCTCAAGCTACTTCTCAAAATCTCTGATTTCAAGTTGACATAAACAAGTAATAAATGACTCAAGCTTAGACCTAACTCAGATCAATTACAAATTCCAAGACAAATCCCCAAATGGTGCAGTACCATAAACCCAGAAAACACTAAGACAAACGAGACTTGGAATCCAAAAAAAATATCCAGAAAGGCAGAAACATAGACATCAATAAGTCAATCATTCAACTATGCATTTATTTGTGCGGACCCATTTCAAAAGAACATAGTTGTGAATATAATTCATCATGATTGGACTACTTTAAAGCAAACTATCAACCTACCACAACCATAGGCGCAGAGCTAGCTCAAAGAAAGTTGTTCAATTGAATTCCCTTCGCCAGAAAATTATACTGTGTAGATAAGATAAAACTAGTATTTTTGATCATATATAAGCTGTTGAATCCCCTTGACATTAGAAAAAAATTCTAGTAAAGTGGCAGCGAGGCTTCAAAAGTTGCTTTAGATCACAAGTGCAAAAATCAGGTGTAACATTTGATATTTTCGAATCCCATTGTATAAAATTCTAGCTCCTCCACTTACCACAACCCTCCTCCTTTATTGAGAAGGTGAATACAAAAACAACAACTACTACTACTACTACTACTACTAAGCCTTAATTCTAAATTAAACGAGAATACGAAAAAGTTAAATAAAATAAGAAGGTAGAGAAAGAGGCGTACGAGAAAATGAGAGAGATGAACGATGGTCCAAGCCATGCCAGGAGAGCAACCAAAGACGGAGAGAACAACGAGCCATGAGAAGAATAGAATTAGGATGTAAGTTGTCCATACACCTGGATACGTAAACCACTCAGTGTTCCGATTCAGATCCGTCGGCGGCACCGCCGTCACATACAAATTCGCCATCCACAATTTCCAATTCAACTAAACGAGATCCGATAATCCTTTTCTGAATTGAGTTTTTGTATATACAAATTAGGAAGATGAATATGAAGCTTCCGATTATTGAATGAAGATGAAAATGGGAATTAATTGTTATTGGAAATAGTTTAAGATATTTGATCAAAACGTTGTTGATATGAAACGGCGACTCTATTAGCCGGTGAGTTTGATGGGTAGGACCACTGAGGTTCCCTCATTTCTGCTGCTTTTTTAACTACTCCTATTTCATTTACTACTTTTTATTCTCTTTTGACAGGTGTTAAATAATTAATCGTAAAAGGCCAAAAATGCACTTGAACTATTTAAAATAGCTCAAAAATGTCTTCCGTTTATTTTTTTCGGAATAAGTGTTTATTTTGTATTTTAATAAATAATTCCGAAATAAATAATTTTTCCAAAAATTTATTCTAAAATGAGGGCATTTTTGAGCTATTTCAAATAGTTCAAGGGCATTTTTGGCCCTTTTCTGAATAATCAAATATTGAAATACAATAGGAAAAAGGGCCAAATATACCCCCTCTACTTTGATATATTGTTCACATCTACCCTCCGTTATACTATCAGGACATATCTACCTTTACCATTAACAAAACGTTTTAAAAATACCACATCTAACGGAATCCACCACATTAATAAAATAACCATTTTAAGAACCCACAATCCGTTAAACCCATCATATAAAAATACATAACCTAGTTTCTGAGACGTCTTAACACATTTTATTCATTTAGAGAGAGATCGAGAATAGCGGTGGAAGTATGATTAGTAAGAATTTATATTTTTGGTTCTTAGTTGTTCATGGTGGCGTTAGGATGTCATGTTATCACTTTTGGTTGTATTTTTTGTGGTTATAATACGGCATCCCTATATCTAATGCAATGCACACTTGATAGTTAGTTTGTATGCGAGTAGCAACCGATATATACTATATCAATATTTGTGTTTAGTTAATGCATGAAGTTAGTGTACTTAGGTTGTTAAGTTGCTTTCCAACTTGTTGGTGTACTTTCTTTCATTCTTGATGATTTTTGTAGACTCCAGCTTGATATTAAATTGAATCTCTTCTAATTATTTTCTAATATTTGTTCCTTATAAGTTCAGTTGTTACTAAGAATTATGAGTATCTCATCTCATAGCTTGAAATCTAACTTTGATTCTTAAGGCGTGATTTGGCAATAATTACTCGTTGCTCAAATGCTTATAGCAGAATAAGGAAATATGGTGCGTGAATACTCATCAACAAAGGCCCATTGTTGGAGGAAGAAATACTTCGGTATCTACCTTAAGACTTCATAATTGTCAACCTAATAAGATGCTATAAACATTCACGTCATGGTAAAAAAAAATCATGATAAATACTCGGCACAATTATGCATGGTGAGAAATAACAAAGAAAAAGGCTAGAAGAAAGAAAAAATTGAAAAGGTAGAATATAATAAACATACAATAAGGATATTAAAAGAATCGCGACTCAGTATATAAATGAATATATGATTGTCGGTATTTTTATGTCTTTCACGTCTTAAGTTCAACAAATGACTACGATGGAGATGACTAATTTGTAAGGAAGAAGTGCAGTAAATAAAAAAGATTTAACGGGTTATTAATGGGTTTTAAAAGAATAGGTATTTTTTTTAATTTGGTGGCTTTCCGTTAGGTGGAGGGTATTTTTAAAAAGTTTGGCTAACGGTAAGGGCAGATGTGACCCGATAGTATAATGAAAAACAGATATGAACAATATACTAAAATAGAGGGGATATATTTGGCCCTTTTCCCTACAATAGAACTATATTTGAAATAATATCTGGTGATTATTTATTATAAAAGGTTATGTTTAAATATGTGGTTAAGAGATATGTATGTTTACTTCCATTCTTAACTGATAAAATTAAATTATGTAATTTAACATAAGCATTATATGCGAAAGCTTATAATGTGAGTTTGAAGTTAATTTATCTTGTTTACTTTCTTGTTAAACTAGGTGAAAATGTTAATTCAATAAAATGAATAATTATTCTTGTGAACCTATGTAATAAACATTTGTATTATGATTGTTCTTGTTGGTGTTACATTGTAGGGGCATTTGGTAGGATGTATTAGAAAAAATAAATATGTATTAGTTTTGGTATTATTAATTCTTGTTTAGTAATATTTTTCAATCGTACTATTCTTATACATAACAAACCATAGTTTTTAATACATGGATAAATATATATAACATATAGAATTGCCCTTTCAAAACTTTTAATGCACCAAACCAAACAGTCAATTAGTGGCGAAGCCACATGGTCACAAGGGTGGTCAACTAACCACCCTTCGTTGAAAAATTGCACTGTGTACATAGGTAAAATATTACGTTTTAGAGGTATATAACACATATTGAACGCCATTTATAGGAAATTTGTTTTCACTTCTTTTAAATTTGAAAAACCCTTGGTGAAATTACTAGCTTCGCCACTGCAGTCAATAAGAAATGAATCACAGCATAACTACTCCCATCATAATTAATTTCAACATTACTAATCTCAACATTACTAGTACACCTTATTTAGTAGTATTAGTATATACTCATTCTTAGCGGTGGATAATCAAATAGTATTTCTGTCTTGGTGTTTTTTAGTTGAAAATTGACAAGGGGGAAGCGTTCTAAATTACAAATTAAAGATTTTAAGCGTGTTGAGAATGTCACAAACCAAAACTACAAAAACTTGGACCATACTTTAAGTCAAAAAATTAAATAATTTATATTTGAGTTAATATCACCGCCAAATCAGAAATGGACCACTTTCTGTTTCTAGACTTACTTTAAATAATCTTCATATCATGAAAAAGACGTTGTTTCAATAATAGTCAAAAACTTGGAGCTATAGTTTTATTGACCTAAAGGTGTTTTAAATGACCACTAAGTTTGATTTGGGATAGCAATGGCGGGGCCAATTAATTATTATGAAGGTTTGCAATCAAATTGGAAACCTTATTTAAAGTCAAGTATGAATCGTTTATTGTTTTTAATTTGGAGCGGCTCAAACCTATAGTTGGTACTATAGGAAATCGACTACTAAATCATACTTCCTCATTCCAATATTATCAGTCGTGGTTATTAAAAATAGTTGTCTCAAATTATTTGTCATTTAAGAAGTTCAAGATAATTTTTTTTTTCTTTTTTTTACCCTTAGTAATAAATATTCTTGAAAAATACAAACACCTTAATTATGAGTAAATATTAAATAAAAAGAGATTATATCTTAAGACATAAATAAGGGTAAAATAATTAAAAACCTCTTTTATTTAATATTTTTTTAAGAGACGTGTAAAAGAGAAATACAATAGATAATTTAAAACGGACAGAGTAATACTTAAGTAATTGTGCATTATATGCTACTGCACTATTTATTTCAAAAGAGATCAAGTTACAGGATGTCGTATAATTTGGTAAAAAGATAACGAGCTTACTATAACATTAAAGCTATACTAAACGTGTTAAAAATCTTTATGCCGTAAATATATTTAACTTAAATACGATTAGTATCAAGTTCAAATTGCTCAATTCATGGTTGTCCGATAACGGTGGCCATTTGTCATATGGGCAGAACTTATTGGACTACCAAATGGTGACGCTAAAAAATGGGCTGGATGATGTTCCACCAAAGAACAAAAAATGAATTTTTTCTTGGGAATCTTACAGAAATATCTCAAAAAAGTTTCAACTTATCGACCTCTAGCCATTAATCATAAACTTATCAAAACTAGTCAATCGCATATAAAAACTAAAAACTCAAACAAATAAGATTCTTTCTCTCAAAAAATCACACACAAAGATCTCCTTCCATATTTTTAAGTGTGATTAGCAACATTAGTTGCAAGACGGAAAAGAAATTTTATGAATAAGGTAGCAAACAAGGTGATGAAATACAAAAAAAAAAAATATATACAAGATTTCAAAAATCTAAGCAAAAAGGGACTTTTTCAATGGGTATGGTTGAGATTCATTGAAAACATATAGATGAATCAATATACAAAATTTGAGGAAGATTGGAGGTGATTTGGACCGATTTGGTATCAAAATTGGTAGTTAAAATCGAGTTCAAAAAATTCTCCAGCGACACATGTATCACCCATGTATCACACGCAGATATACATGTGATACATATATGATACATATGTGATATACAGTGTGATACACCTATCATTTTTTTAATGTTCATCTTCTACTTCAAATTTTCAATTCAAACCACCTCAAAACTCCACCAAATCATCGCAAAACTTATATTAAAGCTCCTTAATATATACCCAATCTATTCTAATAACACTCACTCAAAAAAAAGAGCAAAAAATTGACCTTTTTGGCTACAAATAGCTAATTGGCTAATATTAATAATATTTTATGAATTAGCCAATTTTTGTAATAAGCTATTTATAAATGGACATAGGTGGTATTTTTCCTCTTTCTTTTTTCTTTCCTATACACTATATGAAACCGTATTACCAAAATTGTCCCGGATTTGAAAATTACCCGTCCTGAATAAGATTTGCTTATAATTTATATACAATCCGTTATTAGTGCCTTAAATTAAGGGATTAAATTACCCCATTTTCCTTTTTTTTCTCTCCTCTTCTCTTTCAATAAGATTCCTTCCAATTGTGAATTACCTATTTTAGGCTAAACACAAACTCGTCCAAAAACATTTGAAACTTGCTCCAGTCACAACTTCTTAGCTGTGTATGTTCTTCTTTATCTATTTAGCACACCATTTTCTTGATTCACTGTAGCACGTTAATTTTGTTGAGATTTGGGAACAAAACAAAAACTTTCGAATTCAAGTATGTACTATACCGTTTTCATTATATAAAACGATTAGCAATTGATTGCCATCGTTCAACTATATGCTATTCCATTAATAAAATAAATTTCATACAACTAATTATATAGTATACACTTATTCACAACTTATCTACAACTTTCATACATAATTCTTACCAGTTAAAATACATCTACAACATCATACAACTTAAATATAATTTTCATACAAAATTTATACAATATATTTTTTTGTATATTTTGTATCTGAATTGTATATATTTTGTATGTGGTGTGTGCTTCTTCCTCTCTAAAATTCTAATCAAAGCTTTTTCTCTTAATACAATTTTGATATATTTCAACAACTTTATGTAAAAATATAGTATTGATAACTTTAATACAAATT